TTACTGCTGGGACGGGCTCCATCGTGGCTTTAAACACCCTGCAACCACTGCTGCACCTGACAGACAACTGGCTGTTAGGTTTAGGAGGTGGGGGGAGCATGTTGGAAGCCGTCAGAGAGGCTGAGCCAGCAGGATTACTGCACCTCACAGGTGGTTGTTGACCATTCCTGATTTCCTCAACTGTCATTAGCTATCTGCAGACTCCTGTAACTGTTGATTTTTTTTTACCTCAGAACACTGAGCTCTGCAGCTGACCAGTCAGAAAATGGGGAATGCAAGGAGGCAGCGGCCTAGCAGCCGCATAGGAATCAATGGGAGGAACACATTTTACCCCTTTTGACCCCTTTAGGGGTCAAATTTCTAAAAATCCCTTCTTAGCAAGCATCTACGCCATGGTAGGAACGCTCTCCCCGAATTTGGTGTTTCTAGGTCCAGCGGTTTGGCCTGGGTGTTGGTTTTACGGTGAGGGGACTTTCTTTTATAAATATAGATGATTGCCTATCTTTCCAGAGGAAAAAATGGCCAAATGCAATCAGACAAGTGGACTGCCTTTAGTGAAAGTGGTCAACCCTAATTGCAAATAGCTGGAAAGCCAAACCTGTCAAATGTGAACAACAGAACTGTCATTCCTTACCTGATCACAAACAGGAATTCCTGCATGCTTTTGGGGGCTTGTGGTCATTCATTAATTTAGGGTTTTGATTAGTGTTCTAATGGCGTTGCTTCAGTGCTCCAAAGGGCAGAAAGGTGCCATATATATTTGTAGAAGGACAGAAAACCACCTTGTAATTTGTCCAAAGTGTGTTAGGCGTACCTTCATTAGACCAGGGTCCCCCAGCTTCTGACCCTGGGGGTACCCTTTGGAATTCTGACACAGCATGGTGGGCAAAATCACAAAATGGCTGCTACAAGGATACCGCGAAATGTCAAGGAGTGAAGTTATATGTAATTCTAACCATAATCCTTCCACATACCAGACCAGATGTATACTGTTTTTGGTCTCTCCTTCACACTAATTACCCAAAGCCAGTGAACAATTCCCCGGACCATTTATGGAAGCAGCCTGGATATGTTTAGGAAAGCTATAAGGCTTAAGCAACATCCTTTAAAGGGGCAAGGGAGACTGAGTCTCCTCCGATCACAGGCTTCTACATATACAGAGTTCTTATTAGAGGATAAAGGTCTCACTGTTACCAGTATCACTGCATGCCAGGCATACACAGATGGGGAAGGACAATGGCGGGCCTGGGCACCACCCAGAAAAGTTATTTCAGGTTAGCTGAGCCAAATGAGAGGGGTGTTCCTCAGAGGAAAAAAAAAAACATTCTCATGTAATAAATCCCAGTCTACAAGCACAAACTGTCCATATACTTCGGTCCTAAACATTTATGCAGCCGTGTTATTCATTATACTTCACAGGTGCCTTAGTCAACAAGGCATGATTTGGCCCTATGCCAAGTCTTTCAACATGTTTTGTGATAGTAACTTAACTTTATTTAACTTCCACAGGTCCCCACCACCTCCCAGGAGACTGGGCAGCCTTGTTTTCTACACCGGTCATTCTGAGAATACCTGAAATATGCAAGCACGATCTAAGCACGTAATCATACTGACAGCACCCAGCTAGGGCTGGGGGTGGTGGCTGTACCCAAATTCAGACCTCAAGGGTGCTCTCTCCAGATCAGGGTCCCAGAGGTCAATGGTTTAAGCTGAGTGCCAGAACCTTAAATGCAGAAACCTGAACACATGGCTTTGCTGACCCAAGGACATTCAGAAGGCCTTCTACCAGGCCTGGCCAAACCAATCACAGGAGACAATACAAAGCACACTCAATATTCTCCTCTGAGCCCAAACTATGCGGTGAAACCTAAACAAACCTAGTCTACCGTGCTTTAGTCACGGTAGGGCAGCTCCGTAACCATGATTTTTTATCCAGGGAGCGGGGGTGCTAATTAATTTAATTCAAAAGTCAAAGCGGGGCTGACTTTGGAGGAGTGCTCGAGCTCCCGTAGACCCAATGTGGAAAATGAATGGTGAAAGAGAGTGAGTGGGGAAAGATCACACCCGCCTTCCTCTGGCCATTTAACATTCTCCATGGCCTGAACCCACCTGCCCCTGCCTCTTCAAAGCGATCAACATTCAAGGTAGCTTAAACCAAAGCAAAATACCAATCTGTAATTTGTGTTCAGAAGGCAGGAATTAGGGAAGAGGAAAGGAAAAAAATATGCCAACCACCAGTAAGGTGAAAAAGAAACACAAGACATGGCCCAGATCTCTCAGTGGGGAGCTCGGATTGCCATAGTACCTTCAGATGCGCATCCCAGTGCCTGGAAGGTGTGTCAGCCGGTGCTGGGGTGCTGCAGAATCTAAAGGGGGCACCACCCCGTAAGCCCCACCACGGGCTATGGCCCTGCAGCAGGGTCATAATAAGTGGAGGTTCACCCTTCAAGGCCCACTGATGCTAACAGACCTCCATATTTTACTGTATTGCTCCCAATATGATATACATTCTATTTTTTTAGACCCAATTTTATCTAATATGATAGGCTGACCGGATACTTTGAAGGTGTATCATCTTCTGGATGATTCGTCACCCAAAATAACTGAAAAGGTAGCCTTATTCCTAAATTTGGTAATCAAGGATCGACTGCATAATGCCTAGATACATATGATTGACTCATTTTTCCTTTTTACCTCCCTATCTGTTTATTGCTTCTTATACTGATATATGCCAATAAAGGTTGTGATGATGACGACTTAGATCTGTCTGAATGGGACTTTTATGGTATATATTAGAAAGAACAGTTATATACTAGCTAGATCAAGTTTAGACTACATGTCTAAAAGTGTTCCAAGTGGAAGGCAATAACAAAATTGTAACCAAGAAAGCAACTCTCAGAAAAATTGAAAGGTTCATAGGGATTTCTTATCCACAAAGCCCTTTTGTCACACCAGTGATGCATGGTATCACTACTGCATACCATGACTACTAAATGAATGCTACTACTGCATTTCAGCATTCATTTGCTTAAACTTTTAGCTGAAATCTGTTTCCCACAAAGGTTACAGCAATAGAGCTTACAAAGTCCAATTATGGAAACAACTGAGCAGCTTCCCTGAACTGAAAGGATAATACCAAGTTCTCAATTCTCAATTTCAATTTATTACGGGTCTATATGACCGACGTCTTGACCAAAAAATACCATAAGAAAGTACCATTCTTTGTGAGCTTGTGGATGCACGCACATGCTATTTTTACTGTTCTTACTGCTTTTTGGAGATTTTTAAATAATTATTTTATACTGTCACTTTAGTTATTTTAGTTGATCATTTGTTATTTGTATTTTTAAACGTTTAAGGAGAGATGGCAAGCCGATACGGATCAGCGCAGGCGCATAATCCCATGGGTGTGATGCACAGAGACCACAAAGAGGATGATACATTTTGTGATACATTTTAAAGACAAATAAACTTAGGTGTACCGTACGTATCAACAATTAAACACAGCAGTACCGCATTTATAGCAGTACAAATGCAAAATGTATTCTTAGTCACACATTCCAGAAACCTACAGCCTTGATTAAAAATAAGTGACCTGTACACTATATGAATGTATCCCTTTATATAATCAAAACATTTATTACTATTTATAAAAAAGTGTGACAAGTCTGTTGTCTAGTTAGACTGCTTACAAAACATCACAAGCAGAATCTAGAGATGGCTGCTGTAATGCTACATAAATCACACAATAACAGTCCACAGTATGTACCAAGATCAAAAAAGGTTAAAACATTTTATCAGAATGGGGTAGCGAGAGAACTACCACTGTACTTAGTACCTGAAATACCATGTTTTCTTGCAGCTGGCATGGATCAGGAGAACACAGCATCTCATAATTCTATTATCTGAGTGAAGAAGTTTGGTTCTTTATAAAAATTAGAAAAAATAATTTGTTCAGAAACTTTCTGGCCCCAGATACAGGGTCATTATAACAAAAGGAAATTGTACCGTTTCAACAGCCCTCCCTGCCCTCTTCCCATATCCAAACCAGGAACTAAAGAAGTCATGAACAAACTCTCAGTCACATAGCTACTACCATATAGTTCAGGATTGCATTCAGTCATATTGCTAGGTAAACTTTTTTATTATTATTATTGGAATATGCTGGTTGAAATATTTGGCTGAATGTCTTCACATGTGAATATTCATTCATCAGCACACAGCCTTATGAGCATCATCACTGGTGATGTCAGCTGTCCTTCTGGAGCAATCACATGACTTCAATTGCATTCTTAGAGTCTAGAGGCGGATAAGAGTAGCCTTGAATTAAGGCAAAGACATTTCTACGTAAAATGAGATGAGCAGAAAGGAGACACTACAGCTCAGTCCTAAAAAAGCAAAACCCAAAATCCTAGAATACAAGCCACCATGTCTGATTGAATGTCTTGCAGAGATGGGCAGGTTTGCCCAGCCTTAAGCAATCCATGGCTTCTTCCAAGGCTAATTCCTTGTGTGGTATGTATAAGGAGCCTCCTTTCTGGTTCATTTTTAGTGGGACTTAGGTCAAAACCCAGAGGAAATTGGGCATGCTCGTTGTTACAGAAACAGGTTTTTGCAGACGTCTTGACTGAACAGAGAGAGGGAGAAAGGGAAGCACCATTGTCTTTTAAGAATTCTTGTCAGAACGGGCATGTACAGTAGCAAACGTATGAACAGCGAGTCTTGTGTCTGAACCGCCATCGAAAACATTACAAGACGAGATCACAGATCTCAAGGCATGAGCATATGCTGAAAAGAGAAAGAAAAGAATAGCATTATGTAACCTAGATACATGCTGGAGTAAGCTCCCTGAAGAATCATTATTCTAGTCTACATTTGGGTTTTGCTTGTCAAGACAGTAACAAAACAATGAATGTATCTCCAGTTTTTTTCCCAAAGGCATTTTTTTCCAAGTGGAGAGAACATCCATAGGATTCAAGGTCATTGAACTATAATTTGGGTTCTGATATAGTTTAATTGAGCAGCAGGAACGCTTTTAGCATAACCAGGCAGAAGGTGCAGTTACTTAGTAGACAACATTGCCTGGGAGAGGCAAAGAATGAAGGTTAAAGGCTGTGTCAAATACAGTATGCCTTTATCTGCTTCTACATTTCAGAATGAAGAAAGGCATCCATTGCTTCAAACTCTGTATGGGACAGTATATACTTGGCTTTCGTATAAGAATCTTTGTTTATAACATAACATTTGCACAACCACATTTTAAGTACCATGCTATTAGAAGAGCAGTGTATCATGTTTGCCTATCACAAACTAGAGAGTGTATGTTCAAAACCCCCATGATAACCAGCCTAAGATGCTGTGTAAATTAACAGGAAAGGAATTTGCCCCCAAGCCCCTCAAAAATCTGGAAGCTACAGAGAGAAAAAATATCTCTCAGCCTACCTATTAGAAGCTGCTCCCTGTTCTCCCTGTAGCTTCAGAGTCTAATATGCTAAATTTTAAATAGGTTTAGCTCTACAACACTTGAGGGCTTGCAGCTCTTGAAAAACGGAATATAGCGCCAGTTTTATACTTTGAGTAACTACCATGCAGGAACCAAAATAATAACTCAGTGGCTATTAGTGCATTCACCTCTATCCAAGCCAGAAAAATAGTCAGAAAGCACCCTATTGGTATTTATTGGCTATTTTTTTCAGCTGGATATAGAGGGTTTGACATCAGTCCTTGCTTTGTTTTGTGCTGTTTTCCCCCACTATTGTTTTTTTCCCAAGAATCCTGGTTGTTGTTTTTTTGTGCATACACCTCTAGTGGCTACGAAGGGAGTTTGTTCTCCAGCGTATAAAGAAAAATCAAAATGTTGTGTCTGTTGGAAGGAAGAGTGGTCTACCATAATAACATGGACATGGATATTCTAACTGAGCCCTAAAGATGAACTGTGCGGTTGGCATTAAGAATAAAAACAGATTAGCATCTACCAATCTCTCAAGAAGATTCATTATGAACAGATAGTTTTCTGAGAACTTCTGTCCTTCAAGCTACCAGCTGCTGTCCTTCAATCCAGCATGGTGTAGTGAACCAGGATCTGGGAGACCCATGTTCAGACCTGCACCTGACAAGGAAATTCACAACCTAGCCTTCTTCACAGGATTGTTGTTGTGTGGATACAATAGAGGAAATGGAAATGATGTAAGCTGCTTTGGTCCCAATGGGGGAGGAAAAGTGGGATATAATATGTACCTGTATTAGTGAGGCCATCAAATGGAGAATATAAAATAGGCAGGCATCTTTCCATCATGCCAGACCCAAAATAATCTTGCCAAAAACCTTCCCAAAGCAGCTTTTTACATTAGCATGTAAATAGATATTTATATCGTATATAATTGCTGTTAGCTGCTGTGGAGTGAAGACATATAAACTATTTTTTAACAGGCTGCAATCTATTATGACAGGTCATTTCAAGGGATACCAGTAAATTAATCCACACCAAGTATGCAGAATATGCTTGGAACAAGGGATCCATACAGACTTCAGAAGACATATATACCTTTGTGGTTTTTATAAAACACACAATTATTGGCACAGCTATCAGGATGACAGTCCCAGAAATCTGACCCACAGAAGCACAAGGAAGGCAAGCTGATATTGTACATTTTGATTTTCTTCTCCATCTGGGCCCGTAATGCTTCTACATATCTGAGGGGGGAAATACAAAATGATGTTGTTTGTCTGTGATAGGAACAATTTAATGGCTCAGTATCAAAATGGACTTGCTGTATAACACTTCTGAGTTGATTCTCATGGCCAAACAGGTTTGCAGCCACCTCCAATTTGGTACTGACTGGCTGGAGTAGATACAGTGCACAAGGAAGGCAAGCTGATATTGTACATTTTGATTTTCTTCTCCATCTGGGCCCGTAATGCTTCTACATATCTGAGGGGGGAAATACAAAATGATGTTGTTTGTCTGTGATAGGAACAATTTAATAGCTCAGTATCAAAATGGACTTGCTGTATAACACTTCGGAGTTGATTCTCATGGCCAAACAGGCTTGCAGCCACCTCCAATTTGGCACTGACTGGCTGGAGTAGATACAGCATCTTTGTGCTCCAAGCAGTCACAGGTAAGCTGGTGGCTACTGTAGAGACACTGGATTTTTTGTAATATTCATACTAAGAATTATTAGGTACATAGAGGAACAAAGCCTAAGAAAGGAAAATCAGCATGGTTTCTTTGAAAAAGTAGACAACCTTTTAAATAACAGTGACCCAGCAGACATTATGTACTTGGACTTTCAACAGGCTTTTCACAATGTACCCCACCAAAGACTCCTGAGTAAGCTTAGCAGCCATGGGACAGAGGATGGGTCTTCTCATGGATTAACAACTGGTTAAATGACAGGAGGCATGGAGTAGGAATACAAGACAGTTCTCATAACGGAGGGAAGTAAAGAGTGGGGTCCAACAAGGATCGACCTTGGGGCTGGTCTTATTTAATTTGATCACAAAAGATCTGGAACTGGGACAAAGCAGTGTAGTGGACAAGTCTGCAAATGACACAAAATTATTCAGGATGATAAAAACCAAGGATGACTGTGAAGAGCTCCAGAAAGATCTTCACAAATTGGTGAATGGGCAACTATGTGGCAAATGAAGTTCAGTGTAAGTAAGTGTAAAGTAATGCAAGCTGAAATAAAAAATCCCTACTTCAAGTATATGCTAACAGGATCCGAACTTGCTAACACTGAGAGGGAAAGAGTCTTTGGGGACGTACTGGATAGCTTAATAAAAATGTCAACCCAGCGTGCCACAGCAGTGAAAAAAGCAAACTCTATGGTGGGGATTATTAGGAAACTGACTGAAAATAAAACAGCGAATATTATGTCCCTGTAAGGATCTATGAGTCAGGGATCGGAGTACCTTTCCTATAAGGAAACGCCTAAGAGTCTGGGACTTCTTAGTGTATAAAAGAGACAACTAAGGGGGGAAATGATAGAGGTTTATAGAATTACTAGCGGTAAAGTACAACGAGCTCTAGAGAGATGTCATATGTAAGGAATGCATTGGCTGGATGCAGGTTAAGTACATACTAGCAGTATGTAATAGGTAAAGGTGAAGGTTTCCCTTGCTCGAAAGGCAGTCGAATCCGACTCCAGGGATGCGGTGCTCATCTCAGTTTCCAAGCCGAAGAGCCAGCGCTGTCCAGAGACGTTTCCGTTGTCATGTGGCCAATGTGACTATACGCCAAGGCACATGGAATGCTATTACCTTCCCACCGCAGTGGTACCTAGTTATCTACTTGCAATTTCTTGCTTTCAAACTGCTAGGTTGGCAGGAGCTGGGATCAGAGACAGGAGCTCACTCTGTCTTGCGGCACTCAGGTCTCGAACAGCTGAACTACCAACCTTCTGGTTGGCAGTTCAGCGTCTTAACCACTTGAGCACAAATGTGAAAGTAAAGTCTCACATGCCTTATGTTACACAATAACTGCTGTCCAATTTCCTTATAAAGACTATCTGCTTTATGTGTTTCCTAATGTCTTTCTTTTTGCCATCCTGTTGTAGCTGACTGACTGACAGCAGAGACGCCCAGAGGCGGTTTGCTGTTGTCTGCCTCTACAACTGGGTGGTCTCCCAGCCATGTACTAAGCGGGGCCAACCCTGCTTTGCTCCCGAGCTCTGTGGGGGTGGGGGGGTGCAGCCTGGGCGATCTGAGCAGTGCCCTTCCTTGATTGGTTGCCATTGTTGCAGCTGCCTCCTGGCGGTGACCCCAGAGGCTTTCTGAGGCAGAGAGACGCAGAGGTGGTTACCCCACGCCTACCCCTGCATAGTGACTCCGGGTTTCCTGGGATGTCAGGTCTCCCGGCGCGGGCTGAACTGCGGCCAGGCTGGTCTGTCCCAGGCAGGGCCTCTTCCCTCCCACAACGGCAGCAGGGCCTCTCTGTGCTGCACTTCTGGGCCTGAGCCAGGCCTTGCATGCAGCCTCGGGGGTCAAGCCCGCCCGCCAGGGCCTCCTCCTCAGCACTGCTCATTAATCAAGGCGGAGCGGCTGTGCAACACCCCCAGAGAAGGGCAAGGCGCTGGGGAGGTGCGGCGCTGCTTTGGCCCGGATGGCCTACATGCATCGGGAGCAAGCTGGGCCACCAAGGTCGTGGCAGGTCTTGCAGAGGGAGCAGGCGGAACGGCAGGGCTCCCAAGGCCTGTCCAAGGCACCCGGCACATCCTGTGCCAAACCTTCCCCTGAGGACTAGATCGCAGTTCGTCCTCGAAGGTTGAGGGCTGCCTTAGGCTCTCTGTCCAGGGGGGGCAGCTGTCTGTCAGCTGGCCGGTCCATCCCCCCTGTGGCCTCTCTGATGTCCAGATCGGGTCCCAGCAGTGGGGGGGAAGACTCCAGCCCTGCTGGTCTCTGGGACAGGACAGAGCCGTCGTCGCAAGAGCGAAGACCGTAGCTGTGTTCACAGAAGTGAAGCAACCGTCTTCTGAGGAAAGTTTTGGCAGGCGCCGCTTCTGTGAGCGGGACTCAGGCAACACAGCCAGTGGATAGGGACAGCTTCTGAGTGACACATCATGGAGCCAACTGATTTAGAGGTGTGTGGAATGTTCAGAAAGTGCCACCCCACTACTCAACTATATATAAGGAGAGGTGCACAAGGGTAGACAAAGTGGATAGAGATCTTTTTCTCCCCTTCCCAAAATACTAGAATTCAAGGACATGCAATGAAGTTTATAGGCTGCAGATTCAGGATGGACAAAAAGAAACATTTCTTCACTCAGCAGTGCAGACTTTGCTGCTGGAGGATGTAGTGATGCCACAGGCATAGCTGAGAGACATGCTAAGGGAGTTCAATGTGGAGGACAACGCAGGCATAGACAGCTTTAAAAGGGTGACTGGATAGATGCATACAGGACAGGTCTATCAGTGGCTACTAGCCATGGTGACTAAAGGGAACTTTCACATTCAGAGGCAGTAAGCCTCTGAATCCCACTGCCAGGAGATAACATCAGGGAAAGGCCTTGGCCTCCATGCCATGTTGCTAGAGGAACTAGTTAGCCACTGTGACACAGGATGCTGGGCTAGATGGGGCACTGGTCTGATCCATCAGAGATCTTGTGTTCTTAATCTCAGGTTTACCTGGGGTGTGGTGGGGCTCAGCAAACCGCTACTGCTGGGTCCCACAAGCAAAGTGGGCTTCTGGATCCTGCATCTTAGGTAAGCAAAGAAAGCCCTGCTCAAACATTGCAGCTCACCTTGCATATTCTCTGTGTCTCTGTTGTTTTGCGATCTTTTTCTTTTCTTTCACATCCTCTATTTTAAGCTGTTCCAATTTTTCACAAGCTTTCTCACTAGAGTTAGGAACTTCATGGGAGGTGGCCTCCTGCATTCTCTGTTCCTCTGCAAGGCGCTGATGCTCCTTTTCTTTCTTAATTCTGGGGACAGAAGCGGAATTTAATTCAGTCTTTCAAAGTGATAAAAGGTCAGATTACAAATTACAAATTAGGATTGCAAATTAGAAGGGCACAATTGTATTCAATTTTATTGAGAAATGTTCATGAAAAAGAAATGAAAAATGATTAATGCTTGTTAAAAGGGGATTATAATTCTTCCTGTCTCAGCATTGTCAGGGGCTGGGAAATGTGGCCGTCCTTTGAAAGCACAATCTGGCACATGATTTAATGGGGTTTTTTCTGTGCAGAAAGTGTACCTGCCTGTGAATTTAGGTCATCTGTAGATGTCTTGTTCTATGTAATGACATTATCAGAGGTATGAGAGGGGAATCAGTACATGGGATAAAACTTTCATAGTGGCAGCACTAAGATTCTGTATCTACCCAGCTCTCTTGCTTCTAATTTCATACATATAATGTAAGTCATCCCCTTCCAGCAGGCATTTAGCAGCTCTTCATTCTAGTTGTCTCTGACCTATCCTTCATGTTTTGTTCTGATTTCTGCCATGATTATTGAGATTTTTTGGGTTTTTTAAAATTCAAATGCTAGCGTATAGTGTTTTTTAAAAAACAGCTGATTTAAGAGAAAAAGCAGAATAAAGCAGGATACACATTTTTTTAAATAAATATTATATTGGACTTTTCAGGACACATCTCCCTTCATTTGGTGTTCCCTAGATCTTTTTCAGGACAAAAAGGAACTATGTCTGATGATGTGTGATGGGCTGCACAAGAGGAAGCTGCAACCTCAAACCTCACCTTTATCACATTTATATTCAGCCACTCTATCACAAAACTCACAAACTCACTGGGTGATTTCAAGTGAGTCACAGTCTCTCGGCTTTGGTTCCCAATGTGCAACATAAGGATACAAACAATGGCCTACATTATAAGGGTGGTACAAAAACCCCTGCAGTCATGCTGCTGAATGCTCAGGAACGGCACTGTATACATGCCAAGCATAATTTACTGGAATTGGCAAGAAAGCCATTTGTCAGACCGCACTTTAAAGAAAAGCAGATTGCTGTTGTAATAAAAGCTATTCGTATACTGTAAGGAAAAGTACCAGAATGTAAAGGAAACATGTTTGCTTAGCAGCAAAGACTTTCCCTTTCCTTGTAGTTTTTCCCTTTCCTTGTAGTTTTTCTATAGATGAAGTATTTATAATAGACTTTACTACATCTTTGTGGCACTTCCTCCTATAAAAGAAACTATAGGAACAATGCCAGGTTAACTTTATAACACATACAGTATAAACAAGCTCACTCCCACAGACAGGAAGATTTGACAGCCAGTTGCCCATAGCATACATCTGCTAGGATGGCACTCCTGTAAAGTACAGCTACATCTTGGTGCATGCTCCTTTGATAGTACCTGCAACTAAAGATTCTTCAACCTCTATTCTTTGATAAGAAATATAAGGCATTACATTCATTTGAAGAGGAGTTCGGCTCTTTTTTTTTAAAAAATCATAGGGGCAGTCTAATGACATGATTTCTGTTATTAGAAGAAACTATTGAAGATCTGTTCAAGTACAGCAAAAGCCAGAAGTTATCTAACCGTTAAGCAATTTTGTATTTTAGTTATTTATTTACAAGTGCCTCCAATGGGAACTTTTGTTGTTGTTCAGTTGCACAGTCGAGTCCGAGTCCGACTCTTCGCGACCCCATGGATCATCTCCCGCCAGGCCCTCCTGTCTTCCGCTGTCCTCTGAAGTTTGCTCAGTTTCATGTTCGTTGCCTCGATGACACTGTCTAACCATCTCATCCTTTGCCGTCCCCGTCTTCTTTGACCTTCAATCTTTCCCAGCATCAGGGTCTTCTCCAGTGAGTGCTCCCTTCTCATTTGGTGGCCAAAGTATTTGAGCTTCAGTTTCATTATCTGGCCATCCAGGGAACAGTCAGGGTTGATTTCTTTTAGGAGTGACTGATTTGATCTTCTTGTAGTCCAAGGGACTCTCAAGAGTCTTCTCCAGCACCATAGTTCAAAAGAATCAATTCTTTGGCGCTTGGCCTTCCTTATAGTCCAACTCTCGCAGCCATACATGACTACTGGGAATACCATTGCTTTGACCAATGGCATTCCAATGGGAACTATAAGGCTGTAAATGGAAAGTTCACAATTGAAATGGGCACTAACATGCTTGCTTATCTCCCAAACATTTGAAGCTTCCTTTCATAAGATTTGGTAACTCATTCATGTTGGAAAGAGGGGGGAGGAGGAGGAGAAGAAAAAGGTCATGGGCAATGTTCCCTCTAAGCTGTGGAGTCTTGTGAGCAAAAATTCTACTTTGTGAGCTGCTGGCATTAAAGTTGTGAGCGAGCCACTTGGCTACTGCATGCATTAGTTTGCTTTGGAGCCATCCTTCCTGAGCTAAGACAAAAATGTGTGAGCTGGAGGCTAAAAAACTGTGAGCTAGCTCAGACTAACTCAGCTTAGAGAGAACACTGGTCATGGGGGGCAGCCAGCAAATAAATAAATAAAAGTAAAAACATACCAGACTCATCATGCAAATTCCCTTTGATCAGAGTATTCTTTTATTACAAGGTGATCCTCCTTGCCTTTACATTGACTCCCCATTTGCAATTGGAAATGAGATTAGAGGTCACATGCTGATCTTGTGCCGACACGATCAACATTGATCAGACTGGGCAGTGAGACCAATGGCCGCCACAGATAAACCTAAGAAAGCTGATTACTTTCATCCCTTACTGAGTCTTCTGTCCTGACTGCTGCAGCTGACTAAAGCTTCTCCATGAGGTGAGAAACTGAAGACAGAGCTAATAAGGCTGTAAAAATGGCTTGCAAGACCGACTGAAAAGATATGATGATGCTATTCTGCAGAGAAGCCTATTGAATTGACTCTTGTGATTTACTCCTAGAGTATCACTACCTAGATTATCAACAGCAAAAAATTTACTCTCTCCCCTAACAGTGCTCAGTTCCCACAAACATTTTGCACTGGTACCATGCCCTTGGATTCAGTAAACCCATCCTAAATAAACTGACAAAAAAGGACAACAATATATTGGATTGCCTCAAAAGCCACAGGCAGTATATAAATATTTTAAAGAAACAAAGTACTTGTCCATTTTCTTCTGCCACTCCTTCTGCCTTTGCTGCTCCTTGACTTGTTCTCTTTCAATATCCATGAACAGGCGCCTGTATCTCAGGTACTGATTTTGACGCTATGGGAAAGAGGACAATCTCAGAGCAATATTGGGCAAACCTTGGAACTGATATTGAAAGATCACCCTCTGCATGGTGCGCAGAGAGGTGGGGAGCCAAGAAAGGAAGAATTTATGTCACTCTTCTGGTTTAATCAATCCAGAATCTAGGAAAATGTTGTGTAAGTTTTCTAGGAATTTTTGCTTCTCTAATTGCAGTTTCATATACACCCTCTATACGATCCTTTATACTACCCTTTTATGATCTAATATGATCTTGCTAGTGCTCGATACTTGCCATGTTCCATCACCAAAAGTGTATTTTTAGAACTCAAATTGGTTACATGCTGCAGTTACAGTTATGTCATTATCGTTTATTGCAGCAGTTAAAATGAAGGGGACATGAGCCTCCAGCAGAAGAGACTTCCCTCTGCTGGCCATCGCTTTGCTTGTATTCCCATTTAGGCAAAAGGCACATTTCAAAGCCCCAGTTTCTTCTCAATTCTACTCTTGTGATTAAAAAATCAAAAGCCTGTACTAAATAGTCACACCCATCTTAAGTGCAGAACCAGAAATGCATCATTGTGCTTTTATTTCACATTGCCAATTTATTTGATGGACCGGAGACATTTTTTGTGACCAATCACACAGAATCTCTCTTTCTAAAAATGTAGCCAAGGTAGACATGTAGCATTCCTTAGGAATCTTGAGATTAATCATACCTGGGAAATCAGGCACTTGCCCGCTTAACTGAGAATCCTGCCATCAGTGAGCAGTCAACTTGCAGGCTGCCCCTTCTAACATCTCTATAGCTATACTTTCTCAGCACTTTTTGAGAGATTTACCCTCTGCTGCTTAAGCCATGATTGGTGGCTGTCATAACTTTAGGCATGTGGTGCATTCTTTGCCCCCTCAACCCCACACCTTTTGGGCTTACAAGTTCAGTATCCCTTTCAAAGGAAGCAGCGAGATGGTTTGAACAGAGCTAGATCTAAATGCTAAAGCCATGATGTGATTGATCATGTAATTCTTCCTCCATTCACCCACAGCAAGCTAATAAACAATTCCCTGGTCCGTGGCAAAACATGGTTTGCCTTTCATCACAACGGGAAAACCATGGTTTGTTCCCACTTTGCAGTGTAGCACAAACATGGTTTATCAGTTTGGGTGTAATAGCACCAGGGAGTTGATGATCAGTTCACGAGAGAAGAGGGATCCTGAAGCTCCTTCCAAGCTTGCTGTCAAACTGAGAAACTGCAGTACAACGTTAGGATGCTGAACCAAGCCAAAGGATCATGGCAGCAGGCACCACAGTATCACATCCTTTCCCACTAGAAACCCATTTGCAATGTGACTTCATCTAGGAGTCCATACCTCCTTCTTTGATTCTTCTTTCTCTATTCCAGGCCACAGGACCAGAGTAGCTTGGGTTTCGGCACCAACTGCTGAAGTGGCAGCTGAACAGGAACCTCTCATTATGTCACTACTGATCTGCAAGAAGAGGGAGTAACAAATACCAGCACCTTCGAAGTATAATATTAAGAAGCTTGCAATGAAGTTTAACTTATAGTACCTCGATTTTTTTTCTTAAATTTTACCTGATGTTTTATATAATGAGCCAGCATAAAGAAAACAAATCATGTATTTTTCACAGCTACCATGGAAACAAGCAAGCCAAAAATAAGTGTCATAGATGACAGTGGAAAGACTGAGGCTGCGGTCACACACACTAAATGATCCACTTTCAATGCACTTTCCAACTGGATTTTTACTGTGTGAACTGGCAAAATCCACTTTGAAGGTGCACTGAAAGTGGATTATTTAGTGTGTGTGACCGCAGCCTGAATTCATCAGTGGGACTTGATTGAATCCCATATGGCGTGCAATATTTGAAATGTTCTCCATAAATTGTTAACAAAAAAGATGAACAAGGTACTTCACAAAAAAATATTGCTGTATACATCTTTTTATTAATAAGTTACTAAAACATTACACAGAACATATGGCACACAATGACTGCAATCTACAGTGTGTAGATTTCTAATTATTAGGCATCCATAGTTTAAACTAATCACCATCACTTATTTTAACCAGAGATTACCAAGACAGCTAACAACAGATCACAAAACAATATAAAATCAAATAGCTGATCAAACTTACAAAACAACAACTGAACTAAACCACAGCAGTTGACAATAATCACCAGAATAGCAAAGCTTGGAGTGAAAGAGATAAAATTATGTCAGCACAAGCAAGCGTAAAAGGCTCCCTAAAAAGCCAGGATTTTGTTGTCCATTGAAAAGTGAGCCAAGACAATGACAAGTAGATTTCCTTTAAGAGCGTTCCATAACCATCAGGTGCCATAGTAAAAAAGGTCATCATGAGCCTCAGCCTGTCAAATGTCTGGTGGCAAGGAGATGCATAAAAGGACTCCAGGTCTTTATCTCAGGGGGTGGGCTGATACATGGCAGGATTTGTTATAGATGGGAGGGGGGGATGCAATTCTGTCTTGCCTCTCTTAAAAAGCAAAAAAAAAAAAGCATGTGGGTGATTCTGCTATACTCCAATTTGTACCCCAGCTACCATTTGAACTGAAAATGCAGGAAACAGCTTAACATTTAGCTGAGATAGAAACTGTAAAACAAACAAAAACCCACTTTCCATTCCTGTCACATCAGATCTAAAGAAACCAAGCATTCTTCCAAAGCATTAACCTTAAATAAGAACAAGTCTGGTGGCAGAGAAGGCTTACTTTTCCAAGCTGTATTGTACAGTAGCAGCCCTTACTGCCTTCCTCTCGCTTCTGAATTTCCTGCTCTTGCAGCTCTGCTGGAAGATCGTGGTATCCCACCAGAGGAAACTCCCTGGGATGATTCTCGCCTGTCTTTACTGCAGTTGTTGTGTTGAATTTTGCCTTCCAAAGGAAAAACAACAATATAAGAAATATTTCAAATCAAGTGCTTCATGTGAACAGAACAGCAATGAAGGTTGTTGGAGCAAGACAGGACTGCAAAACAAAGAACCAACTTGGGGCTCCCTATGCTACATACACAAACACCCACTGCTTCTGTGTGGAAAATCAGGTTCCTACCAAATCCCTATGACGTAAGAGGAAGGAATCTTTTACAGCAAAACATGAGTGGGTGAGGAGAGCCGAACCTATCGGGTATTGTAAATAAGAAGCGGGAGACTGACCAGTTATGAAGGTACACAGAGAGTTTATATAGTTATAAAGGTGAATATATACAGAGATATTTACAGGCTATTGAACAGCATGTCATGCCTTAGTCTATGAGAACTGAGTCCCCACCAGCTTACTAAACTGATAGCTATTATTAAACCCCAGCCAATCTCTAACAAGGTGATGTAATCACTAACTCTAACAAGACCTGAAAGAGCAACACCTGCTAGAAAATACCAGGCTGTAATTACATGATTACTAGCATGACAGCTAGGTCTGACAAACAGATCAAACTGATCTATAGTAACTGCTTGCTACCTCTATCACTCTGACATATATCTCAATAGAACCATGCTGCCACCTCTTTTCAAAAAGTTATTTTGTTTATAAGTCTTAGCATCTCAGTAGGGTTCCAAGATCAAAGATAATCCCCGCTAGCCCTCCCCAGCTAAGAACAGCCATTTTTAAAAAGCTGTTTGCAGGGAAGGGAAGTGAGCATTGGAAGAAACTGTACAGCTCTCCTATTCTCACCTATGCTATATTTAAGTCCCCAGTCCCCCAACCGACAGGCTTAACTTGGGTTGTGTTGTGCCACTGTCAAGTTGAAAATTCCTGGCCACTGTGTGACTCAGAGTGTTGGACTGGATGGGCCTTTGGCCTGATCCAACATTGGCATCTCTTATGTTCTTATGAATTGCACCTTCCTACATTTTCAGAATGAGGCTTCATTTTCTAAAGGGCAAGTTCATCAACTATAATTACCACATAACAGTAGCAGCTTTTCACCTGATTACTTAATGTTGTAAACCAGATCATCCATTGTAAGATATTGGTCCCTTATCACCACAGCCAATTATGTATTGGGGAAGATAAGGCCAACAAATCTGGCATCATTAAAGTGGACTATGGCTGCAGTCACAATGGAGGCTTGCCATGATCTGAGTGCGCCTCTAATTGCACTGGTTTAGAGTGTTGTGGGGCAGACCAACCTGGGGCGGCTCCCAACGTGCTCGTCTGGTGGTCAAGCATTCACATTACTGCAGCGCCTCAACCAGCACGCTGCCCAGTTGTTTTTGTTTGCATGTGGGCGGGTGCATGCACAGATGGACTCATGCACATATAGGCAGCAACTAAAAAAAACAGTGGCAGAAACAGATCTGTGGGTTCCTTTCAGGGTAGCAGAGTTCAGATGCCCAGGGAAGCAGAGTGGGAGCACTGGCATCTGTAAACACCAGACTTTCCCTGGTGCCTGATTACTCCACTTTCAAAGCAGGGCAACATGGGCTGCCAATGACTGGGGCACAGAAGGCAGATGTTGCTGTCTAATCGTGCTCTTTAAATCTGCAAAGGTAATGCTAATATATTGCAGCAAACTGCTCGTGTGACTGCAGCCTATGTGGACTTGACAGCAATCCTAAGCAGGTCTGCCCAGGTCTCACTTCCAGGAAGTATTCTTAAGAGTGCACTGCACATCTAGCTAAAAGTAAAATTTTGAAATTCATAGAATCTATAATGAAGAACAGCACATGCCTTGTACTCTCAGCCAGCATCATTACTTAAGACAAAGATATTTTTAACAGCTCTTATTTTCATCAGCAAGTTGATTAAGTTAGGGCTTTCAAAATATTCATCTAGGCTCTTAATTACTTAAACTGAAGTTACAGAAAGGGTAGGACTCATTTTATTGTTCCGTTGCTGAAATGCACTGCAGACTATCTAGCTCAAGATCACAGAAGAACACAAGAACAGAATAAAGCACAACAGCAAAGATGACAGTAAATCTGATGGGCTGAAACTCAAGAGATGACACCTCTACATTTGAACAGTTCAGCAGCAGTGAGAGAATGAAATTACAGTTTCTCTAATCCCACAAACCAGTCTACTGCAATTGCTGTAGAGCAAAAGGAGAGATGTTCTTGCTTCAGTAGGCATGAGGGAGGAGTTATTTATACGCTCCATTTTTTTTTTCTAGAAGACCATGGTGGTATCTTTTAAAGCTCAGCTGGTGGTATTTTTTAAAGCTCAGCTGGATAGCAACAGCACCCTTATGTATTCATTTAAGGATGCGATCAGTCAGGCAAGCAAGGCAGTTATTCTCCTGGTAGTGTGTCAGATTAGTCAGCTCCCATTTGCCCAAGCAGTTTCTCATGAAATATCTGCTTCGACATTCTTTTGCAACACTGTAGCACTGATATGCCAATCAATCTTCTGTTTATTGATCTGACAAAAAGCTAGGGAAGAGTACCCTACAAAAACAAGAGTGCAACGTAGAATCTAACATGATAGCTATTAAAGAATACTGTGAAGCTGTGTAAGTGGTAACAGCAGGACACATTTTGACCCAACACCAAAAACTCATTTTGTTCTAACAGACTGATGTGAAAAATGTTCACTTTGGAAAGAAGTCTGAGGAAGGAAGTCTCAGTGGGTTCAATGGGACTGCTTCCTTGTCAGTATGCTTACAACTGCATCCTAGATCATGCTTTACAGCTGGCCAAGCAAGTAAAGACTTGCCTCCAAGTCTGCCTGGTTATTAAGATTACTGTTAGAGGCCATACTCTGTGTCCCCTCCTTTAAAAGCAAAATTGTTCACCACAAGAAACAGGACATTTCCTATGGCTGGCACCTTGCTTATGGAATTCCATTACTGCATTCATTTGCCTGGCAGCACCCGTATGAGTTTTAGCAACAGGGGGAAACCTTTATTTTCTCAAACATCTGGAGATGGTGTTTTACTTGGCCCTTAACTATTTTTTTCTTTTGTAATTGAAATTATATTCTCAGTTGCTTATTACTCATTGTTACAGATTTTTCCAATAATTCTATTAGTGTTGTGGTTTACTTCCTTTATTGTTTTGTTTCTTAATCATGGAGACAACCTTATACTGTTCTGAAGAGAGAACTAGTAAAGGAACACTGGCAGCACACAGTAAAATAACTGAACCTTTTCTCCAGAACTCACCTGCGTACTCGGATGGTTGCCCCAGGAACCTCCTGGCAGTTCTGATGAAGGTTCTCCTTCCGACACAGTCTTGCAGGAAGCCAGCCTGAGACGGACCTGCTGCACTGTTTTTCTCACCTACCAAAGTGAGATGTTCAGTTTATTTATATAAATGTTCGTATCTCACCTTTCCAAAAAAGGAAGGAGAAAGGCTTCAAATGGCTCACAACAAAGTTTTTTTAAAGAACCTCTCTGAAAAAATCTTACAGGAAAGAACATGTGATATCTACAGAGCATGCACATAAAACATACTTTTATGGGAGAAAACACATTTGCCAGTTATCTCTCCTGTGTTGCGAACTGGAAGACAGCAGTACTGAGATTGCAGACAAAGTTCTCACCACCTTCACTGAAGGCAGACACTCACACTTTGGGATTGTTCTAAGAGCTGTGCATCTTGCATTTCTTCTCCCCCCTGTTGCATGTTACTGAGTTGCTGCACACCAGTAGAACTGCAAATGACAGAATTTGTGTTGCGTCTGAATAAACATGTGCTTTTCTTGGGGGTCAGCTGTAGTGCCGAATCAGAAAATCCTATCACAACAGAGCCTTCTTTTAGAGCCTGCAGGGAGAAAAAAAAATATTGAGCACTGGAAGAGGTGCAGATCCAAGCACATCGATTGTCAGTTTTTCCACTATGACTCTACATTTGACTAGGTGGCCTTTCAAGGAAAGGTCATACATGTGCAGTAAAGAGAAGTGGATCTGGAAATTAGGAAATCTTGGCTTACTGCTTCATATGATTTTTGAAGCTGCTGCTTTTTTCTCTGCTTAACATGCTGGTTCACTCTTTGCTTGACCTCTTCTTGAAAGCGTTTCAAAGCCCTCTCTTTTTCCTTTTGTTGCTCTTTGTATTCCTCTTCAATTACAGCCGCTGAAGCCTTAAAAGAATAAGAAAAAAGACTTTATTTAGAAAAAAATTATGCTGCCTCTCCAGAAACCTACTTGAGGCAGCTTATACAAACAATAAAAACAAAAACTTAAAAGATGTTAATTAAAATCCAGCATTAAGAAAGTCTGAAGCCCAGTATAAAAGACATAGACCATAAAAACAGACAGTGGACAGCTTAAAATAACATTTTCTAGAATAAAAGAGGCTTTAGATAGCATTGAGGTGAGCCTCACGGAAAAGAGCATTTCACAAGCAAGGTGCTACTACTGAAAACCCCTGTCTCTGGTTGCCACCTGCCTCACTTCTGAAGGCAGGGGCACAGAGAAGAGGCTTGTGAGACAGATCTGAACTGGCAGGCTGGACTGTATGGGAAAGTCTCCAAACTATGTAGGTCTTCCAGTACTGAGATGATATATCCTGCCCCTGACAATAGCTGAAGTTTCTAGACTGATTTCAAAGATGGCCCCATGTAAACTGCATTACAGTAATATAACCTGAATGTAATCAGAGCATGGATCACCATAGCCAGAACACAATTTCTGAGAAATATCCATAGCTGTCATATTAGCTAAAGCTCATAAAAGGCACTATGTGCCACAGAAGAGACCTGGGCCTCTAATTGTAGGCTAGGATCCAGCAGTACCCTGACGCCATGAATCCGTTCCTTCAAAGGGAGTGCACCCCCTCCAGGACAGGTCCCGCCACCAAGTACACCTAAACACACCCCCTACTCCCGATAGGCTATTTACAGTAACCGGGCGACCATTGGTCTCCCGGCTGAGAAGCTGGCCCTTTGATTGGGCCGGCTAGGATCCTACGGACCCATTGTCTTTGGACATGAAGCTATTGAAGAGTTGTGCCTGGCCAGCCCGGGCAAGTCCGGGCATGTCAGGCTGAATACATTACAACTAGGCAGTGCACCTTAGAACAACTTTAAACAAATTAGCTATGCTTCAACTATTAAGAGATTCTCAGTATGCATACTGGCTTTGCCGATTTAGCGACTAGTGTATTATGGAAGTAAACCCACAGCTGGAAGCTAAATTTCAAGGAAAGCCACCCCCCCAAGGTTACATAAAACATGGAATTTAAAGAATCACTCAAATCACACATATGAAGAACTGCTAATAAATCTAGATATCAGCATTCAGCTAATTTGCACAATTAATATTGTGAGTTTAATCCCCAGAATTTCCAGTTATTGTTAGAGGGCTAAGAAATACTTATCTCTGGCCAAGACTCTAGAGAGCTATTACCAGAAACAGCAGCCAATAGTGGGTGATAGGCTTCCCAAGTCCCCCCGGGGGCCGGGAAATCCCCGCCCCAGAGGCCCGTTCCCTCCTGCCGCTGCCGGATCGGGCCCCGGGGGAAACTCCTCCCCGTAGTGCGCGTCACCTGGAAGTGACGCAACCACGCCGGGCACGCTGGGGGCGGGGCCACGACCATCCGAGGAAAAACTCTATGGTTTTCCCTTGCATATCCGTGGCCCCGCCCCCAGCGTGCCTGGCATCGTCACATCACTTCCGGGTGACATGCATGCGGCACGCACGCACGAGACACCAGCCGGGAGCCCCCCGCTCCCAGCGAAGATCGACTTGGCAACCCTAGTGGGTGAGAATGACCAATGGGATGAGACTGTAAAAAGTGGCTCCATAGCTGTGTGTGTTCAGATAAGCCAATACTCTGAATACTGCAGTAAAAACAGAACATCTTTTCTTAGTACTCACAAAAGCTAGGCTTTCCTCTTGCTCTGCATCTTCTGGGGCACTCTCCACCCAAGCCCCAACAGGTGCCACAGGCTGGTTCCTCTCCGCTAACACCTTCCACTTTGCTGCTGCGGACAGAGAACTCACATTTCCACACACAGGCAACTCTCTGGTTGTCCTCCAGCAACAATGCTGCAACTGCTGTTTCTTGGAAGGTAACATCCCAGGCACAGGGCACTTGCAAAGCCAGAACTCTTAGATACAGCCTCTGTACAAAATACAAGAGCAGGTTCACGAGGGCATTGATATAGACAGAGTAACACACCACTGCTGACAGTGCAGTCCTGAGCCCATCTACTCAGAATGCTACTCGGCATCTTTAACAAAAGCTTACCATGCAGAATATAACTCTGGTTGAAATGTACCAATTGCCCTGGGGAGTTTAGGGCAGCATTCATGGCCCCTTCCTCCTCCATTTCACCCTCACAACAACCCTATGAGGTGGGTTAGGCAAAGAAAGAGTATGGCATGTTTAAGAGTCTTTCAAGTCACCTGAGCCCCACTCTGGCTCTCAACACCCACCTGACGTCCGCCCAGTTGGCCCCCAGGGAGCTTCTATCTCACCTGCAAAGACACTGACTCCTTCCCCTGGGAGGGCGCTGTGTCCCCTTACTTGTACACCCACCAGCAAGGCAGCTTCCAGAAAGTCACTCCTTCCCACTAAAGAACCAGGATTTTCTTCTCTTACTCCCCAACAGGCCTCACTAACCGCCGCCATGGCAACCGCCGGCACCTAGAGCTACCCTGCGTAGCGGCAGCGGTTGCCACAGCAACCACCCCCGCCAGGCACCCGCCACGCGCGGCCTCACCCAATCATTACAGGAAGACGGGAAATCAAACTCCCCCCCAACCGTCGCTTTTGAAAACACGCGCCTAGCACAACACACTTCCGCAAGGGAGCGCTCCGACCACACCCTCCTTTTTCTCAGCCACCAATCCAGCGGAAGACAGCGCGATGACGGTAACATCAGACACTAGCTGGGCTGCGATTGGCCGGCGCTCGGCCTTCTCGCGCGAGACGCTAAGGGGTTAGCCACGCCCGTTGTATGATAGTCACGCCCACCGAATGTATAAATGAGAGGCGTTTGGCATTAGGGGAGTAACGCTGTGCTTATTTTGCCGGGTTCTTTAGGTGTCTGGTTGGGAAAGGACAGAAGTCGGCGGGGGTTGCTTTATAAGTATTAATCTGTACATACTTAGAGACGTTTTATGGGCTGGGCCATGGCTTTGTTAAACATCTTTTAATTTGTATGCAGAATGGTTCCAAGTTCGGTCTTCAGTTAAAAAATAAAAGTTCAGTGGTTCCTAACAACCTTTAATTCAATATGTGCTTTAATGAATACTGCTCTCTTTTTCAAATATATATGCGAGAATCCTTGTTATGGGGCAGGTTATGAGGAGGAAAGTTAAGACAAAGGGTTAATACTGTAACGAGTCTTTCGAGATAGATCCAGGTGGGCAACTGTGTTGGTCTGAAGCAGTAGAACAAAGTTGGAGTCCAGCAGCACCTTTAAGGCCAACAAAATTTTATTTAAGGTATGAGCTTTCGTGTGCATGCACACTTCCTCATATACATTGAAATGGAAGTTAAAAGTCCATACATATAGGCAGAGGGTGAACAGCAAATCAGCATACAACATAAGATGATGCAAAGACGCAGCAGAAATAACAAGCAAAGTTTATATGGTCACCATCGGTTTGGATTTAAATACAGGGGGGAAACACAGTGAAGCAAATGAATATGTAAAAATAGGCGACTGATATGTAACTATACTTAATTGTGGAATGCTAAGAGTAATTGAGTAATTGCTGGGAAAGATTGAAGGTCAAAGAAGATGGGGCTGGCAAAGGATGAGATGGTTAGACAGTGTCATAGATCCTATCTGATAGTAATTGAGCAAACTTCAGAGGACGGCGGAAGACAGGAAGGCCTGGCCTGATCTGGTCCATGGGGTCGCGAAGAGTCGGACTCAACTGTGCGACTGAACAACAACAAGAGTAATTGAGACCCTATTGGAGTGTAATTAAATCTGAACAAGTGGTGATCATATAAACTTTGCTTATTATTCCTGTTTGTTCTTTGCACCTGTTAAAACATCTTCACTATGCTGTATGCTACTTTGCTGTTCACCCTCTGCCTGTATGGACTGTTAACTTCCATTTCAGTGTATCTGAGGAAGTGTGCATGCACACAAAAGCTCTCACCTTGAATAGAACTTCGTTGGTCTTAGAGATGGCACTAGCCTCAAACTTTGTTCATGAGTCTTAAAGTGTAGAGTCACTTAAATTCAGTTCAAAAAGTCAAGTAGTAAGTGATGCAAAAGATATGTAGCAGGTCTTGGAGAGCCAATGCTAGTCAAAATAGACAAGACTGACCTTGATAGGCTAAAGGTCTTAATCAGTGTAAGGCACGTTCACTTGTTTGGGTTATTCATGTAATATTTGGGACAGAGCCTTCCGGTATTGAAAACCACAACTTTCGAGGTGAAGCCATGGTTCATATGTAGTCCTGGCTGTTAGTGCTTGGTTTATAATTGGAAAGCCCAGCTGCAGTCAGCACACCCAGCCTGGGCATTAATTGGATTTTAAAAATGATTGCTGTGCACCTATGATCAGATGTGTTATTCTAAAAATTGCTTTATAGAATAAAGCAGGGGGGATACATTTTTTGCAACAGAAGCTCTACTTTGGGGGGAGACTTGTAAATCTATTTTTGCAAAAATCTGAGTGTTTGAAATCTTCCATTCTATATCTCTCTTGCTTTAAGGAGGGGCTTTCACTTATATTCCAGAACGGGCATCCAATAACAGTACTAGCAAAGATAGAATCTTAACAGTTACATAGGTGAATATAGGTCCCTGCCTCTAAGGAATTAAATCTAAATCTCTAAGGAATTAAATCTAAAAGGTTTTTTCTCTGTATGCATAGTTCATGGGCTATCCTTCCTGTTTTTCAGTAGGTTTTGAGCTGGGTAATAGCAGTGAAAAATAAAAACCTAATTTAATTCAAAGTTAGAGTTTTATAGATTTCCAAGGAACTATGAGTGCTGAGTTTGAGCTAAAAGTGTTCCAAAAACTGTGGCTTTCTGTTGCAAATGTGTTTGTTTTTGCTGTTCAGAGCTGGTGCATAAATGGTATACTCAAAATGCTACCTATTGCAGTTATGAAGAGGTAATTTGTGTGGTATTTATGGCCCAAACCAGCCACTTTAACTGTATTCAGAACTGTAGGCATTTTTATTGAAGCATCCTTGCAGGGGTAATCTCATTCTCTTCATCCTTCCTCTCTAGGATAGAATGTTGTTACTCCCTGCAGGACTATGTGTTTATAAAATTTCTGTCCTTGGCACTATACTTTTCTCCTCCTATCTCAGTGGTGGTGAACCTATGGCACGGGTGCCAGAGGTGGCACCCAGAGCCCTCTCTGTGGGCACACGTGCCATCACGCCAGCCATGCCCAGACCATCATTAAAGTGTCAAATTCTCTGCCAAATAATTTTAAGTAAATGAAAGCATTTGGGATTGCTTTCCTTACTTTGTTTGGATCATCTTAAATTAATGTATGAGTTGTTTTTTTCTAAAGTAAAACCTCAGTATTTAGGTTAAATTGCCGTGTTGACACTTTGCGATAAATAAGTGGGTTTTGGGTCGCAGTTTGGGCACTCGGTCTCTAATAGGTTCACCGTCACTGTAGTGTCTGGGCGTCTTGGGGGCTTATCTGATCATATCAACACGTCATAGGAAGGATGGCTGAGCCAGTTGGAATTAAGAGCGGCAGGATTCAGAAAGATGCTGACTTGTTGCAGAAAACAAAGCTTTTGTTTGTGATTTTTTTTCCCCATTGTGTGAAGGCAAGGCCAAGAACTTAACTGGCAGAGAGAAAGAGGGAGTGAAGATCAGTTGTTTTGGTTTAAAACAAAAATTTAAAAGCCCTGGGAAAATTTTCTCTTTGAAAAAGAAAAACCTTTATGGGGTGTATCGGAACACTTTGGAAGGAGCTCAGCAGCCAATTGCCCCACAAGAAGAGGTTTTCTTGATGAGATTTGGAAGCTAGAAGCAATAAACAGTGATTCTCGCCAAATGAGCATTTGGGAAACCCATCAAGCCATCCCCCACCCACACCTTTAATCAACCATTTTTGAACAGCTGTTTGATAGTAAATATTGGGTTTGATTAAGCACAACAGAGCTGGAACCGTAAAAGCATTCAGTTCACTTCAGAAATTGGCTCAAAAGATTTGGGACAGCACAAAGGAGACTAATTGGCACATGGGGGGGGGGGCTGGAATGCTGGCCTAGTTAGACTGTAGGATGGCCGGAATGACTAAGGCTGAAATTAAAAGCAACAAAACCCCCAAAGGCTTGACAAACAGACACAGGGAAAAGATCTGTCGGTTTATGATACTGTTTCCTGACTGATCGCCATTACCAAGCTCTTAAATCTGGAGCTGGCAAGCTAGCAAATTGTTTTGTGATTTCTAATAACTTCTCTGAGATGGTTGTTGCTAGGGCAGTGTTTATTTGGCTGTTGTTCATGTACATTTTTACTGTTTTTAAAGCTTTGTGTATGTGAAGCATTCAAGCCACTTTTCCTATGAATTAAAGAACGTGGATTGCTTCATCACAGTGCAGTCTCTTATGCTAATGTACCTATCTTTCTGAGTAGCTGACATAAACAGTGCCCTGGAACCTTTATAGGGCTGTCAGCCCTGGGTTGGGAAATTCCTGGAGATTTTGGGGGAGGGTGGAGTAGTCTAGAGAGGGCTGGGTTTAGAGAGGGAGGGACATCAGTGGAGTATAATGCCATAGAGTCCACCTTCCAAAGCAGCCATTTTCCTGAGGGGAACTGATCTCTGATGCCTGGAGATCAGTTGTAATTAGAGATGTAAAATTTCTGGAAATTTTGAAGCTCGGGGAAAAAACGGAAATTTTCTGAAAAATTGAAAAAAATGCTATATTAGCATTTCTTTTGTCTTTTCTAGATTGAAAGTCATTCTGTTACTTTAGGAACATAAAATATGACTATGGACATTTTTACTTGGCATGAAATTATCACAACTAGCATATTAAAAATGTAGTGTATCCAAACAATTATTTCAAACAGAATACCCACCCACATGCAAAAACGAAACTGAAACTTTTTAAATTTCTTCTGACAATTGCACCTCCTAAAGGAAGAAATGTATCTTGTTCTTGCATTGGAGGGTTCAGTTTGTAACCTAGGACTTGCTTGTCAGTGCATAGAAATTAGATCAATCTGATACCATATATATATCTTCACATCTCTAGTTGTAATCCCAGGAGATCTTCAGCCACCACCTGGAGGCTGGTAATCCTAGACCTTTGTCTTCTAAAACCAAGTCTGTAAACTGTATAGAAATATTGATTTCTAAATGTCTCCTGCATCCTCCTGTTCTGTCTTTTGGTAACAGGCTGTGCCTTATTTCCTGTTACAAGCCCAGTGGTAGGCCCCATGGCTTCAATTGCATGCCATAAACTCACATTCTTCACACTTCCATGCTGGAAGCTAGACCTACATGCAAGAGCTCACGTAGCCGATGGAGAAGCTGGAGTTGGGGGCCATGTGACTGCAGGCGTGGTTTCCAGACTTCCAGCCTATCCCCAGTTGTACCCATGATAACTAAGAAATTGGACACACCTATGTCCACTCCAATTGGCTGATGGCCACAGCTGATTGAGACTGAAATTGGACTATAACTGTTCAGACCCAATGGGAGGGACCCTCTCTGTCCCTTGCTCTTGTTCTGCTCTTGCTTCTTGATCTCCTGTTGTTGCCGGTTTATTGCACCTGGACATGTGGTCGCTGGGAGAACAAAAAACTGCTTGGTAGCTGGAGCACATGTTGTGCAAAGATGGGATTGTTCCTAAAAATCCCTTGGTGTCTAATTGGACTGTATACCCTGGACTACTTTGGACCTTGGTAAATATGCATCTAGTACTGTGTATTCAAGGCAAACTGTCTTGGGCTTGTTATTTTGAATCCTTATAGTCTAATTGCAATACTCTGTGCTGAATAAAATATTATTCTTGTTTCTAACTTGTCTTTGATGTTGTAACTGAATTCTGAGTCTAAATCTTGTAGCCTAGCGCTCACACCACACATGCTACCTTGGTGAAGTGTGCAATTCTTAGTTAGAGTTGCTAACTAGATACCAACTGAGATTTTGAACCTCTGATCTCAGGTTGGGGGGGGGGAATATTGCAGAGGTTCTGGTGGCATATTGTTCTGAAATCCAGAGAGGGTAGTTTACCTCTCTGGGTTGTTGTGTAATGTACTGTAAAAGTATAGGATTCCCTCTCATACCTGGACAGGCTTGGGGGGCAGAATCCTATACAATAACCTATGATGAAAAGTATGTACAATGATGTACAATGTATCACATTGTTTCATCCTGCCCTTCCTTCAAGGAACTTAGGGTTGCATGCCTACTGCTATTTTATCCTCATAACAACCCTGTAAGGTGAGGCAAGAAACACTGTAAAGTCACCCAACAAACTTCAGGGGGTGAATGGAACTTGGAATCCGTGTCCCCTTAGTCCTAGACCCACTCTGACTGGTATATTACACTGGCTCTTTTGTAGTACAATGAACAATTCAAATCAATATAGATTATTTGGGGTTTTTTGTTTTTTTAGCGTCTGATTTGCTTCACAGGGTTCTGTTGCCTGTCACTGAAGAATATTTGTGGATCAGTTCTAGGACTGCCAAACAGCCAGCTTCCCACTGGGCACAACTAATTCCACACCAGCACCCCTTACACCAGTTTTCAGATGAAGCCCCCCTCCCTCCCCCGAATAGTGAAAACAGAAGAGAGGCAGGCTTTTGAAAAACTGTTTACTGCCTTTTAGCCCAAAGGAATGTGCTATGCCACTCCTTTAAGGTTTTTGCATCACTAGGCTTGCTGTCAATTTGTAATTTTCAGCCCAGGCTTTTCGGTGAGCCGAAAGCACCTTCTCTGAACACAACAGCTGACTTCCTCTGCTTTTTCTGTCCTCCCTAATAACTCTACGCCGGACAGTGAGAAGGCTGTGGGCCTTGGGTAAACTAGTATTTTCTGCCCTTTGACGACTGATTTTTCTCTTTGGTGGTCCCGTCTTCGCATCCCATCTATGATAACTTAAGAGTTAATCACCTGCTCTACAGAAGATATACCAGACATTAAACTTGGTTTCCACCAGCAGGCTGTGTCTGGTCTCTGTTCTGAGTTCTCATTTTAAGCTAGGCCCAGCTTATAACACTATCCCTTTCCAGATTTGTCCCTTCCGTACAGCATTACCACCTCTGGGTTGGGAAATACCTGGAGATTTTGGGGGTGGAGCCAGGGGAGGGAGGGCAGGGTTTGGGGGAAGAGAAGGACTTCTGCAGGGTACCGTGCCATAGAGTTCACCCTCTAGAGCAGCCCTTTTCTCCAGGACAACTGATCTCTATTGCCTGGAGATCAATTGTAATAGCGGGAAATCTCCAGGTACCACCTGAAGGTTGGCAACCCTGTTTCCATTAGGTGGCCACCCTAGTCAATACACATGGCTAGCTTACTACATTGCCAGCTTGTCTGTATTATTAAACACTGAGGTGCCCATTTTTACTACCACAGGTTCTCTTTGGGGTGAATACAAGTTTGGTAAAGCTTTTGCTCATTCTGAGCCTGGTAGCCTAGTCATCTACATTACAAATACAATGGAAGACTATGGTTTTTTCCAGGTGTGCCATCCAAAGAGGAGGGTCATCTTATATTCACAGAAAAGTTAAGGTTATATACAGTAATAATCAGGGCTTTTTTTGTAGAAAAAGCCCAGCAGGAACTCATTAGCATATTAGGTCACACCTTGACAGCACAGCTCATTAGCATATTAGGCCACACCCCCATGTTACCAGAAGTGTGGTCATCCAGCCACACCCACTTTTTGCTTCTTATTCTGTTTACTTTGTTTATTCTCAAAACCCAGGGCTTTTTTTGTAGCAGGAACTTCTTTGCATATTAGGCCACACACCCCTAATGTAGCCAATCCTAATGACTTTCTGCTGTTGGGTGTGGCCTATTATGCTAATTAGTTCCTGCTGGGTGTGGCCAACTCAGGAGCCAGCTGGAACTCTGTTCCTGTGCGTTCCTGCCCAAAAATAGCCCTGGTAATAATGCTTTTTGGTGTATATAACATTTTTGGGGAGGGGGTCATCTTGCTCTCAGGGTCATCTACCTTTCCAGTAAGTATGGTATGTCAAGTGTGAACGTGTTTTTCCAAACCACAGAGCCACACTGACTAGAGGGGATTCTTAGGCTTCCCCTTGGATATGACTGGCCTTTCCCCCCATCTTAGTGATTCCTTTCCTTCCCTCGTTTTGAATTTTCTTGGTATTTGTAGAGATTTTAATCCTTATATCCACACCACCACAATGTCTGTTTTAGGAAGAGGCCCAGGTAAGATGGTGGTGGACTGTTCTTAGATCTATCCCACTTGCTATGGGGAAACTCAGTGTTGTCATGACCCCTTTCACACCTGATTTGAAAGCCAGGCCATGCTGGATGGGCATCTTGTGGTTTAGAGTGTTGAACTAGGATCTGGGAGACCCAAGTTCATGTCATGGAAGCGTGCGGGCTCATCTTGGGCAGTCACTCTCACAGCCTAACCATGTTCACTAGGTGGCTGTTGTGAAGACAAAATGGAGGGAGGGAAGAATAACATAGACCATCCTGAGCTCTTCAGAGCAATGGCAGGATAAAATGCACTTTCATAGTTGCTACCTAGTTCCAGAGTGCAAGAAAATGAGACACAAGTGGGGTGTGCCAACGCTGGGCTGGAAAATTCCTAGTGATTTGGGGGTGGAGCTTGAAGAGGGTTTTGATGTGAGGACTTCAGCAGTGTATAAAGCCGTAGAGGCCACCCTCCAAAGCAGCAGTTTTCTCCAGAGGAACTGATCCCTGTAGTTTGGAGATCAGTTGTAATTCTGGGAGGTCTCCAGGTCCCACCTGGAGGTTGGCAACCCTAGATGTAAGCCTTATATGTTGTTGGTCTAAAAAGCCTTTTGGTGGGAGTATAATCCATATTTTTAGACAACTGCTGCCTGTCCTGCCTGCAAATGCCACATCCTGTGCAGAAATCCGTTCTCAAGTTGTTATGGCTACTTGCCTGGAACAATTTTGCCATAAGCTAGAAACTAGAAAAAGCCCAGGAAGGTTTGCAAAAGACAAATGGGCCCAACTCTTTTCAAGGCCAGGAAATGCAAATGGCTCCCATAATTCGCCTCGCCCGCCTGCTGAGACATTCATTTGAGAGGGCTGTGGGTAGTGTGTGTGGCATATGTTAAAAACCTCCCTAGAAACTTTGGGAGAGGCTGCAGAAAAGTGATCTGGAATTTTTGCTCCAAGAAACTTAAATCAGGCCTTTGATGCAAAGTTGTTGAAAACTTTGGGAATATTGTGCGTTTTTAAATTTTTTTAATTTTTTTTTCCTTAGAAGGAGAGTTAGCCGATCCTTCAAAACAGAGAATGTGGGGCTCATGAATCCAGAAAACATCAGGTCTGACTAAAAGAGAAGAGAAAAACAAAATCTCACAACAACACACAGAGCTCTGTCTATTGAAAAAGGACTTGGCAGGGTTCAGCGGTGGCAGAACAACTCCAAGCAGTACTAAGGGACGTGCCCGGAGTGGACAAATCATGCTAATTGTGTGCAAGAGGGACTGAAAACCAAACCCAAAATGAAGAGGGGAAGGCAAGTCTTGTCCAGAGTTCTCAGTGCTCCGGGTTTCGTGCAGTTAGCTTGCCTTTTTATAATCTACACAGGTAGGAAAATGGCATTCCTTATAAAGCTTTTGGGGAAGGGTGCGGAGCTTTGGCAGAAACTCTTGTGAGAGGGGATGAGGTTCGGTTCAGATGCTGGAAGCCTGCAGGCGTGTGTTGCTCAGCTCCAAGGCAAAGAGGTGAAGATCCTTCAAGTGGCAACTCTGAACACCCGTTCCCCCTCATGCAGGAAGGCTCTGGATTCCTTGTGGTTTGGGATACTGGGAAGGAATTAATCAAGGGACTCTTTTTGGAGCAAATGATTGATCTGTGCCTCTGGAATTGAGGATGGAGGGGCCGGATGAACATTTGGAGCATCATGTAGAGTCCTGAACAAGTTTTCAAAACAAAGCAGGTAGATTTAGGCATGTTTAGGCAAAGACAGATTGCCCAAGAGATGTGCCGTTTGATGATGGTCAGCTGCAAATACATACAAAATGCTAGGTCAGAACTCACGTTTTGGTTGCCCACCTTAAATTTTGGCATCGGGGTTTAAAACTCAAGAAATATGTTCAGAAGGATCTGAAAGCAAATAACTTTCCCTAGAGGTGCTGTCGTTTGTTTTGTGTGCATGTGCATTTTAAATCCAGTTCCTTCAGGAAATTATCTGTGGAGCAGTTGTGTTGTAGTGGCCGAAAGACTGCGATGAATCGAAGTCCCCAGTTCAAATCATACTGCTGTTCTCCTAATTAACTTGTTCAGATATATAGCAATGTATGCTTACACTTCTAATTATGTTCAGATATGTAACAAATATATATGCTTACATAATTGCTGATATGTATGCTGATCTTGGATCATACTGCTATTCTGAACTTTAGACGAGCTATTCTCTAACCTTCCTCTGTCCCCTCCCCCCTGCAATAAATGGATGATAATACCATCCTGCCTTGTAGGGCTGTTGTGAGAATAATAAAAGGGTTATGTGTTTCTATCATATTAAACTTAATGCAGCAGCCAAGTTGTTTGGGGGACCTACATCCCACTGAAAGCAAAAAGCAGGGTTTCACAGTTACTAACTTGACTTAGCAGTGGATTTAAAGGAATTTTGAAGTGATGGAAATTATAACATTTAGGTGCGACACAGTGACACAGTGAAGAAGCCAGCAGATTTATGATGTCTTAAACATAAAAATATGTCTTCTAAAAGAGACGGTCCTGCCTGATGGTCCAGTTGAGCCCAGTCTCATCAGAGTATGGAAGGTAAGCAGGGCTGGCTATGGTTAGTACTTGGATGTGAGGCCCTCAAGTAAGAGGAAGGCAATGGTTAACAACCTCTGCTCATCTCTTGCCTACAAAACCGCATGGTCCTAGGGTTGCCATGAGTCAGTTGCAGCTTGTTGGCATGCAATTATTATTATTAAGAGGGAAGGCAACACACATTTTGCATTTAAGGTTTTCATAGGTCAATGTAGCTTCCCAGTTAACAGACCTTATAAAAATGATCTTTCCCATATTATTTGTCCTCTACCCTTTGCTTGAAGTACAGGGAGAGAAGCCTTCCCCTCTTCTGTGGTTCCCCTGTCTTGGCTCCTTTTGAGAAAGCTGGGGGGGGGGGGTTGGCAGCCCTAGCTCTACTCAAGGGAGGACTTGGGGAAGGGGGGAAATCTGTGGATTTTACTAAAGGTTCCCTAATTGTCCTCCGATAATTTGAGCACTTGTCTACTCCAGTTATGAAGAATAACTTTACCATGTAATTCTACCATACATTGTTCCAGTAGCTATCAAGAGAGCTTATATTAATTGATGGGTTATACCTTTTTTAAAAACGGCCTTGTCTCATGAGAACCAGCACAGAGGGGCCAGGATGGGTTTAGCTGCACTGGCTTGCCCCTGCTCTCATTTAATTGAGGGGCCTTTCTTGGCACTATGGTTTGCTAATACTAATCTTTCTTTCTCGCTCCTTAAGGGTGTACAGTGGTGATGGTCCCAGAATTTCTCTCTGTTGTGTAGTGAGTGTGCCTGGAACACTGTGTCCCTGGCTTTTCAGCTGCACAAAGCCAAATGAAGAAGTATTTCTCTTCCCAGAACAGGCAGGACTTCCCCCTCTCCTTTTTGTGCCTTCTTGTACTGTGAACTCTCTAACTAGCACTGAGGTCCACTTAATACTTTACCAAATTCCTACATGGATAGTGCTTCTGTGTTGGAATTCGTGAGAGATCATGCAAGAAGATTGGTATACAAGTGAGTCTTGTGTGCTGTTTGCCTGTGCTAGCAGCCTGCAGTCTGTTGGGGCTTAGTGTGCATGTAACTTTCCCTAGAGGAATCATAATGTATTTTGCATACAGTTTTTATGTTGGAAGTGTTCTAGAGGCGTGAAGGTTTTGTAAATCTGAAAAGCGGTGCTGGCATTTCATTGCAATGTACTAGAAATTAAGGCACAGGATGATCCAGAGAGGCATGCAGCATGTGCTTTGTGCCCCCCACCCACCAAACACTACTACACTGGAGAGAATAAATCTGATCTGAACATAGTATCTGATATGACCTTTGGTGTAGTGGTTAAGTGCACGGACTCTAATCTGGGAGAACTGGGTTTGATTCCCCACTCCTCTACTTGTACCTGGCTGGATGACCTTGGGCAAGCCATAGTTCTGATAAGAGCTGTTCTTGAAAAAAGAGCAGTTTCTGTCAAGAGCTCTCTCAGCCCCACCTAACTCACAGGGTGTCTGTTGTGGGAAAGGGAAGGGAAAGGAGTTTGTAAGCTGCTCTGAGACACATTTGGGTAGTGAAGGGCGGGTATAAATCCAATCACTTCTTCTTCCTCTTATCTACACACGGACAAAGTGGGCTTAAAACTATGTGAGCTGGGTTCAAATGCCGCATCTAACATGGGCTCATTTTGTAGGTTATATCGCTACCTCACAGGGTGTCTGTTGTGGGGAAGGAAAGGGAAGGGAAAGGAGTTTGTAAGCTGCTCTGAGACACCTTTGGGTAGTGAAGGGCGGGTATAAATCCATTCACCACTTCTTCTTCTTCCTCTTATCTACACACCGGCAAGGTGGGCTTGAAACTATGAGAGCTGGGTTCAAATGTCGCATCTAACATGGGCTCATTTTTTAGGTTATATCATGTCTTGAAGCCTAATTGGTTGATAGTACCATAGTAATAACAGCAGTCTCCTCCTAGGGATATTGTAAGGATAAAACATAATACAGATCACAAAGCGCTTTGCTAACGAAAAGCACTGTATACCAGATAAGCAGAACAGGGTGGAGAAGGGTCCAGAATTGCTGTTCATACATTTGAACAAAATCTGTGAATTAATTCATAAATTTATATTTATGTTATTTATAGTCTGCCTTTCTCACTAAGACTCAAGGCAGATTACAGACAATTGGACGTTACCTCCAGGGTCATCTAGTCCAACCCCCTGCATAGTGCAGGAAATTCACAAATACCCCCCCACACACACACACACACATATACCCAGTGACCATGCCCAGAAGATGACAAAACACCTCCAGGATCCCCGGCCAAATTAGCCTGGAGAAAAATTGCTTCCTGATCCCAAAGTGGCGATCAGCATTTCCCTAGGCGTGCTAGAAAGGGCCACAAGAACTAACCACTGAGGCAACCTTTCCTGCCCTCCTTCTCATGATCTGCCTAAGTTCACAGAGTCGGCAATGCTGTCAGATGGCCATCTAGGCTCTGTTTGAAAACCTCCAAAGAAGGAGAGCCCACCACCTCCAGAGGAAGCCGGTTCCACTGAGGAACTGCTCTACTTGCCAGGAAGTTCTTCCTAATGTTCAGCCGAAAATTCTTTTGATTTAATTTCAACCCGTTGGTTCTGGTCCAATCTTCTGGGGCAGCAGGAAACAACTCTGCACCATCCTCTATATGACAGCCCTTCAAGTACTTGAAGATGGTTATTTATCTATTTATTTATTTATTTTTCGCATTTATACCCCGCCCTCCCCAATGGGCTATCATATCACCTCTAAGTCGTCTCCTCACCAGGCTAAACATACCCAGCTCTTTCAACCTTTCCTCAGAGGACTTGGTCTCCAGACCCCTCACCATCTTCGTTTCCCTCCTCTGGACATGTTCCAGCTTGTCTATATCTTTCTTAAATTGTGGTGCCCAAAACTGAACACAATACTCTAGGTGAGGTCTAACTAGAGCAGAGTAAAGTGGTACCATCG